TGTGTGTGTGTGTGTGTGTGTGTGTGTGTGTGTGTGTGACTGTGTGTGACTGTGTGACTATCTGTCTGTGTGTGCATGTGTGCGGGAGGGAAGGGTAAGCTATCAGGTGCAAAGGCAAACTATTTCACCTTCAATGACAGTAGTAGACAGGTCCGATGGCCAGTTGGCTTGTATCTTGTCACGAAGGGATTGTATGGCTGGTCGAGCACTGGGTAAATCCTGAAGCTTGTTTTTCAGCCAGCCCTATAAGCAAAAGAATTGTATTTTGAAACTTACTAATAGTCGTTGAAAACTACACATACAAGATATATCTAAAACAAAGGACTATCAGACAAAAAAAAACATGGAAAATGTCATCAAAGTGTGCCCCCTACCCCACCCAGAAAAACCCAACTCACTGACAGATAGCGAAATTTGCATTTACAAAACTCTCACTTTGAAAGAAAGGAAGAGATAACACTAACCATAGATTATCCTATGCTAAGTTGACTTAACAACAGCCATATTTTCTAAGGAACAAATTAGGACAAGAATAAAAGAAAACAAAATGCAAACTGCACCACTATATTATTGTTTATAAACAACAAGCAGGAAGAATGAAACATTTATGGAAAAAAACAGGTACAACAAAAGAGATAATAAGAAAGACAAATATATATTGAATATCTATCCACAGAACACTCAAAAGCCCAGTTGGAAATTCATGCCTTTGACATTGAATGAAAATACAACAATTAAACACATGCATACACACACACACAGACACCCTTAACTAGTTGCAAACCTTCTCTGGCATCAGTTCCACCAGCTGTTCCTTCCATCTGTTCACAGAGTTGGCAGCATGTTCCCTAACAGTCCAATTTCTCCAGTCCGGAATGAGATCCTTAAAGGTTTCACTGTCAGGCAGATATTCCTTCAACCATTCTACTTCTGGGATGTAGCTTTTCAGCTTTTCCATTTGCTGCCAGAAACATTTGATTGCAGCATGTCAATTAATCTGACATACAAATTAATGATAGAAAGTGACTGTACAACATTTTCCCAAAATAAAATTGAAACCAATTGGAAAAGCAACTCTTTTATAATGAATTTTAAGCCACAGCTTAGTCACAAACTTGTCAAATTCACTTTAAAATTATAATCATACACTTCTTGTCTTCAAAGCAGAGAGAAAACCACCATCATTTGGAACAAATAGTGTGGGGACTTGAAAAAGGACAAAGAAATATTACAAATTATACAAAAAGGTAACGACTTTTTCCAGAATTTATCTGCACCAGCATGTAAATAACTTACAAGACTTGGGCTAAATCACATCGTGATCCTTACACTAAACCCAAAGGGAAAAAGAAAGAAGGGACATCCTAGGAAGCACAGGGTGTGAGATGCCGAAATGGGTCTGAAAAGAAACATGTCTAGAGACTAGTCAGAGCAGGGGTGATGAATCAGCCCTGAACAAGGTTTGATAGCGCAGCTTCAACAAGAGTCAATTATCTCTATCTTGTTCCTTTGAAAGTGACAACCTGCAGCAGACTAGTACGCATTGTTAGCATAAACCCAGCAAAAAGTATATATATATATATCATATTGTATTGTTACAGAAAAGTAGCCTATATATGCCACTTCACTACAAGTTAGAATTTAAGCATTACACAAGTTAAATTTTTTAACTTACCTGACTGGCGGCGTAGCCCCCACCGGCACCACCGAAAAGCACTAAATATCTGATTTTCAGGAATCTTCCGAAACCCGTCACGATTCTCAGAAGGGTAGACATCTCCCTGTAGGTCTGCGGCTTGATGCTGCCATCCTTAGCCAGCAGCAAACGGGGCCTCACAACACCTAGTCTAGAGGACTGGGAACCCGACAATGAGTGGCTGAACTGACTAACATGCAGCCGTGCCAGCTGAGTTGAGGTCAGCTGATTGGAGTGTAGAGTCCCCTGGGGACATCGGACAATCCCCGGCTGAGCATAGCTTGTAGCTGCTATAGCCCTCAGCCGAGGATTCAGAGGCTTTACATTTCCAGAGGAAAATGCCCCACAGGCATGCCTAGAAGGGGGAGGGGAAAAAATTAATTGTTACAATTTTACCTTAATTTATTCAAAATTATCCCACATTAATTATATTATCGTGCAATTTACCATTAATTAATATCATAATAATGACTGGTGGCTCTCATGGTCTATAGATTAAGGTGTTCACCTCTCATTCAATAGGTCCCGGGTTCGAATCCTGATGGCAACGGAAAATTTTCTTCTTTCACAGCCTTTCCAGCTCTCTAATAATGTGCTGTTGTCTGCTTTCGTCTCCACTTTCTGTCCCCAACCCCTCACCTCCTTTGCCCCCTCCTCTGGGCTCCTGACTCTTTCTCCAGCCTTTTAAGTATATATGCTACTCCTTGGCTCCTTCTTACTGCTCTTTCAGCCACATCCCTGATCTTACGGTAGGTAAGATCTACACTTAGCCTTCTCAGATACAGGCAAAGAATCTCCGAGGTTTCGTGTGCAAGTTGTGCATGTTAAAGATCTCTTGGTAGTCCAAAATCGACAAGAATATGCTGCAGCCACCACCGGGGTAAAATTCAAAATTTTTTACTAACTGAAAATGTTAATTGTTACATACATTACATTTCAAACAGAAGTAGTGAAGTCTTTATGATCAGATCAAATCTTTCAAATTTCAACTCTAGACACTAGATCTAGAGATCTAGCTAGATAAGTAGACCATGAGAGTACCACTGTCTTTTCGTAAAGGTAGCGTTAATTGCGACAGAGTGAGTCTGTGACAACTAACGTGGCGTTAATTGCGACAGAGTGAGTCTGTGACAACTAACGTGGCGTTAATTGCGACAGAGTGAGTCTGTGACAAAAAAAATTTAATGTTTTGCAGTTGTTAGGTTTGACATCTTAGCTTGCCGCGAATCAAACGTATATAGATCTAGATGTAGGTCAGGTTCTATCAAATAAGGGGGGTGGGAACTACCGAAAAAGCGCCATGAACTTAAACTATTATAACTATAATATATAAGTTAAACTGTCATTCAGTCGCACCTCCATCAGTCAGTCATGATCAGTCAGCCCTAAAAGATTGAGTGTTTCATTATCATGAAGCCTATAGCTATGGACATTTACCAACCACCAAACAATCGTATGTCACCTCTAAAACAAAATTATTTGTAAGTTAAGTAGAGGTACCTCTTCACTTCACACTTCTTGTCGCTAAAACTAAAATAAACTGCTCTGCTGTGCCACTGCAATTTTGTAGAATCCGTTGTTGCGAGTCGCAAGTAATTGGGCTAAAACAGAAGACAATACAAAACAGTTAACGACTGTCACTCACGAGGGAACAAACAACATCACAAGGTGAAGAGAAGACTTACCCAAACCGGCCGATCAGGGCCATTCAATCACTAGAGATCAAACACTTTCACCTCTGTTTGGCTTGTTCTTCTGTCGGCGACATTGTAACTTCCACTTCTGACTAAAGTTGTCGGTTGTACAGGAGAGTTCCAATATAATTATCGATACCCAGTTCCTTAAAAATCGAGTAACTTTTCAAAACATACAATGTGTGTAGGCCTCATATA